TGTTTCAAATTTTCTTGCTGTGGATTTCACACATGATGATGATTGCTTGTGTTGCAGTCGAAACGTCGTGAGAAATTTTATTGTTTAATATTGGTATTATTTTATTATTTCCCTTCTACGTGACTTTACCGAAAGAACTAATAATATCAATCCCTGCAGTCACGAAAGCTTTAAATCAAAATTATTTTTTACGTTACGTTACATAACGTACTGTATGTAGAAACATATAAAATTAGTCGTGAAAAAAGATACATCCCCGGGGTTTATCCGGGATTTAACCGGCACCCTCTCGCACCCTAAGCGATAATCATACCCCTAGAGTAGACCAACGAGGGTTTATAATTTCGATCAGAATTTTTTTTCAAAGTTCAGGTGATTCGTGGCCTTAATAATGCTTGACGGTGACATCACTACAAAAGTATGCCTGAGCAAACAGTGCAAAGAGTGTACGCGCTGCATTTGTGAAACCATCTCTCGGGAAACCAACCCTGACTTTTATTTTTCGATTTAAAGCTTTCGTGACTGCAGGGATTCATCTTCTTGGTTCTTTCGGTAAAGTCACGTAGAAGGGAAATAATAAAATAATACAAATGAAGCATAATAAATAATATATTATATTATTATTAAATTATATTATATGACTTTATTATGTTTAATTTTTATTATTTTATTACTTCCCTTCTACGTGACTTTACCGAAAGAACCAAGAAGATCAACCCTGACTTTTAGATTTCAAACAAAAAACAAAATTAGAGGCGCAGTCCTGCAATTGCCGGCTCGCGCCACTGCTGCCAGAACGGGGATAATGATTCGATTTAAAAAAAAAAATGTTCCTGGGCTCGTCCGGGATTTGAACCCGGGACCTCTTGCACCCTAAGCGAGAATCATACCCCTAGACCAACGAGCCAGCCGTTGCAACTAGGCAAGTAAATGGTATCCGCCACATCACTAAACAAAAGGCACATGGAAAACATTGTTAATTTTGGATTTTCACTAAATTTGTATACATTACAGCCTTCATTATTAAAAAATATAACATTAAAATAACCTTCGATTTAAAGCTTTCGTGACTGCAGGGAAAAAACTATAAAATAATAAAAATAAAACAATTAAATTCTCACGACGTTTCGATTGCAACACAAGCTTGTGTTGCAATCGAAACGTTGTATTGATTTATTTCTATTCTTTTATTATTTCCCTTCTACGTGACTTTACCGAAGGAACCAAGAATATGAATATAACCGCAATGCACTTTTCTGTACATTGTTAAGAACTTTACGTTATTTGGAAAAAGGTAAAAAAAAGTCACAAAAGGTATATTTTGCTTGGGCTCGTCCGGGATTTGAACCCGGGACCTCTCGCACCCTAAGCGAGAATCATACCCCTAGACCAACGAGCCAGCCACACACCCACAGCCGCGTGCACACAATCTGAGGCTACAGCATCAGGCACATGTGGCTGGCTCTTGAATAGTTCACATTCCCGAAACTTTCCTTTGCTCGAACAGCACTGCTTGCTTTTGCCTTGACTCAACCGAATTAAAACACTAATTCGGTTAAGATACCTACTGGTTTTACTTAAAATGTTCTGTTTTGGAGGTGGTAGCTTGGAGCAAAAGCATTGACCTTGTACCATTGAAAATCTGAGTTTGAATTTGGGTAACCACACATTATCATTCAATTGGCCAGCCACACACACACACAGCCACGTGTCCACAGTGTGAGCATACAGCAGCAGGCACATGTGGCGGGGCTGTTGAAACAACCACAAAAGTAAACCCTTAAAAGCGGCAGCCAGCTTTGAATCGTTACAACAGCACTGCCTCCTTTTGCCAATCGCGCATTTGGTTGAGATGGTGACACGGAATATTTTTGCTGAAATTTAAAAAAATTTGGCGACGGCATCATTGGCAGTGGTGCACAACCACAATGAACATACAACTGTTGAGATCTTGACTTTAATAAGTTCCGTCTTGGACGTGTTTATATAGCTCAGGATAGAAAAAGCTGACCCAAGGCACAATCCGGGTTGAAATCTGGGTAAACACACCATCAATTAAACCGGGTTCTCCAGTACAAGCAAGTTTCTCGCTTAAATAAAAATATAAAAAACCTTGGGCTCGTCCGGGATTTGAACCCGGGACCTCTCGCACCCAAAGCGAGAATCATACCCCTAGACCAACGAGCCAGCCTGTCTACATCGTGAACGAGCAACCTTTTAAGGAGTGGCACCCAGAAATATCTGCCTACTTGGCATTTCGCAAAGTGCAAATTGGTGGGCTTCGGTGAGACGAATGCGGTGAAGCTGACATCACGAAAAGTGTGCACGCACAGACATCAGTAGGTTGGAAATGAGGTTAGACCCTGTTGTACCACCCTCCCCACCCTCTTCATCAAACCAACACTGACCAGTGTGGTGAAGTATTTCATATTCAAATCCAGATTGTGGTGTAACTCACCACAAATTAAACAAATAAAAACAATGTGCTGACGCTGCGTTAGCAGAACAACAAAATACAACAAAACAACTCAATAGAAAAGTATATGTACAAAACAGGCGACGTTTCAGGCAACGGCCCTTCTTCAAGGCACACTAAATAAGTAAAAAACTACAGGGCTCGTCCGGGATTTGAACCCGGGACCTCTCGCACCCAAAGCGAGAATCATACCCCTAGACCAACGAGCCGGCTGCTATGATTGCTCAGCAAACAGTCTTTTGGCAGGTGGCATTTCGCATATCCTGTATGACGAGCATTCAGGAGGAGTTCAGATTCTTACGCTCCGGCGAAAGTGCCTGAGGCCAAGAAACCAAAGCAGAGCTGTGTCGTAACAAACAGTGCAATTGTGTCCCGATAATAAATCCAGATTTTTTTTACACTTTCAGCATACAATAGAGACCTTGATATGCACAAATAACTTGTAGGGTCGACTGTACGAAGTTTCATCAGGCTTTCGCGACCAATACTACCCATAACATAGGTTTTTGGGTAAGATCGTAAATATATTTAGTCATAAATATATTTACCTGTAATAAAAATAAGAAATATTTACCGCTAAATATATTTACGGTCCAACCCAAAAACCTCTAATTATGGATGAAATTATATATAGCCAAAAGGAAAGGGCTCGTCCGGGATTTGAACCCGGGACCTCTCGCACCCAAAGCGAGAATCATACCCCTAGACCAACGAGCCAGCCAGTAACCTGTTTGTTGCAAGCATCCTTTTAGGAGTGGCACTGCACATTGCATGCATATTCAAACAAATGGAAACAAATCTTTTTTTTGAATGGGACTAATCTGCCCAAGTCTATATTTGAAGCTTTCGTGACTGCAAGGATTCATACTCTTTGGTTTTTTCGGTAAAGTCACGTAGGTAAAAAAGAAAATAAAATAAATGAAAATAACTAAATTAAATCACGACGTTTCGGGCGCAACACAAGCGTCCGTCATCAGGTGGTAAAGCATGGCCATGTGATACTGGTGGGAACCTCCTGGTTACACCAGCCCACAGGGGATTATTGTGTCCGTCCGTCCGTCGTGCAATCAAAAATGGGAGGGGTGGGGCTGGGTGGTGGGTGGGAGGGGTGGGGCTGGGTGGGGAGGGGCTGCTCACCCCGTGGTGCCCTTATAAAACTCAACGTTTAACCTACTCACGCCGGCTTGTGCCCGCCCTCACAGTCGGGCATATTTGCGGAATACACCACGCCGCCGTTGACCCTGGCCATTGACCGAGCAACCCAACGTTCCCACCAGCTCCCTCCGCAGGAATGTGTTTTTTAATGAGACTAATCTGCCCAATTCTAGATTTCAAGCTTTCGTGACTGCAAAGATTCACACTCTTTAGTTTTTTCGGTAAAGTCACGCAGGTAAAAAAATTAAAAAAATAAATGAAAACAACTACATTAAATCACGTTTCGGGCGCAACACAGCCCCACCCCTCCTATTTTTGGTTCCTACCAGTATAGTTTTTAGTTTGATAGCTGCTACTGCTGCTACACGCGAACAGCAATCGCCCTTCTCGACGGCCTTCCCGTTAAAGTCTACGCAGAGGATCTTTATCTCTTTGCGGGCGCGCGCGCGCGTGCGGACGCACACAGGGACTCACGCTCTCCGCGTGCGGACACACACAGGGACTCACGCTCTCCGCGTGCGGACACACACAGGGACTCACGCTCTCCGCGTGCGGACACACACAGGGACTCACGCTCTCCGCATGCGGACACACACACAGGGACTCACGCTCTCCGCGTGTGGACACACACAGGGACTCACGCTCTCCGCATGCGGACACACACACAGGGACTCACGCTCTCCGCGTGCGGACACACACACAGGGACTCACGCTCTCCGCGTGCGTGCAGACACACACAGGGACTCACGCTCTCCGCGTGCGTGCGGACACACACACAGGGACTCACGCTCTCCGCGTGCGTGCGGACACACACACAGGGACTCACGCTCTCCGCGTGCGGACACACACACAGGGACTCACGCTCTCCGCGTGCGGACACACACACAGGGACTCACGCTCTCCGCGTGCGTGCGGACACACACACAGGGACTCACGCTCTCCGCATGCGGATACACACACAGGGACTCACGCTCTCCGCGTGTGGACACACACAGGGACTCACGCTCTCCGCATGCGGACACACACACAGGGACTCACGCTCTCCGCGTGCGGACACACACACAGGGACTCACGCTCTCCGCGTGCGTGCGGACACACACAGGGACTCACGCTCTCCGCGTGCGGACACACACACAGGGACTCACGCTCTCCGCGTGCGTGCGGACACACACACAGGGACTCACGCTCTCCGCGTGCGGACACACACACAGGGACTCACGCTCTCCGCGTGCGTGCGGACACACACACAGGGACTCACGCTCTCCGCGTGCGTGCGGACACACACACAGGGACTCACGCTCTCCGCGTGCGGACACAGACACAGGGACTCACGCTCTCCGCGTGCGTGCGGACACACACAAGGACTCACGCTCTCCGCGTGCACGGGGTGCACAGCGAACATGACGGAGGCGAGCAGCGCCGTGCGGCACGCCGGCGCTCCGCGTGCCCCGCGCCATCCGACCAGCAGGCAGCAGACGTCGTAGAGCAGCGCCGAGACGACCGAGTGCAGTGCGATGTTCACCAGGTGGAACCCCGTCGGGTTCAGTCCTCCGCTCACCCAGTAGTTGAGCCTGGCGGACGGCAAGCGGGGCGATCGTCACGCACGGGCGGCGAAGGACCGTTTTGCCTGCTTCACATCGTTGACGTGCTGCACCCATGTGTCCCAGAGGTCGCAAACGGGCTTTGATTCCTTACCCGTACCCGTACCCGGCCGCTCCAGGGTCGCAAACGGGTACCCGTACCGGGCCGTACCCGGCCGTACCCGTACCCGTACCCGGCCGAGTATCGGGTAGGGTACGGGTACCTGATTGCGACCTCTGGGATGAAGCCATGTTATAGGCGCGGGTGGGGTGATTCTAGGAACTTGAATTGTGAGAAGAGACAAGACGTTGGGAAATGAGTGACAAACGGTGACTCACCAGTGACTCACGGCCTACCCGTACCCGTACCTGTCCGCACCAGGGTCGCAAACGGCTACCCGGCAACCTGTACGGGTAGCCTGTATATTATTGGTTCTTTCGGTAAAGTCACGTAGAAGGGAAATAATAAAATAATAAAAGTAAAACATAATATAATTATGTAACATAATATAATTATGTTTTATTTTTATTATTTTATTATTTCCCTTCTATGTGACTTTACCGAAAGAACCAAGGATACGTTGCAAATCAATTTCATTGGACAATCTGGAAACATACTCTTAGGTTTTTTCGGAAAAGTCATGTAAGTAAAAATAAAAATAATATAAGTAATAATAGGGTACAGGGTACTTGATACAGTAAATTTAGCTATGACGGTCCCACCTGATGACGAAGACTTGTGTTGCCTCCGAAACGTCGTGATTTATTATTTTATTTCTATTATTACTTCAATTATTTTTTATTTTTTACCTACGTGACTTTACCGAAAAAAACATAAGAGTATGAATCCTTGCAGTCACGAAAGCTTCATATCTAGAATAAATCTTGAAACATTTAAGGCGCTTTAAAGCCTTTGCAACGTGAGAGCGTGATCCATGGTGCAATCGTGCCATCTGCTGGAGAATGAGTTTAAAACAATTCTAATCTTAAGACTGGGTGATCAAGTTTTAAGTGAGTGCTTAATAAGTAACTACTGTATAAGACTTGTCAACATTTCGGAGGTTTAAACTTAACAAACGTAAGAACTGAAACACTTCATGGCTATTCCGAGACGGGGTGGGGAACAGAATGGTTAAGTTGCAAAAGATGATAACATTTCTGAGAAAATAGCATTAAGTTCAGCACGGTACATGAAATCTTTAATGTGACAATTAAACTTATTTATCTGGACGTAATAATATTTTGGCTTTTTCCACACAAAATAATAAAAGCCAGGGCTCGTCCGGGATTTGAACCCGGGACCTCTCGCACCCTAAGCGAGAATCATACCCCTAGACCAACGAGCCAACCGATTTTGCCTCCCCTATGTGAAGGCTATGTGAGTGAGAAAATCAGCATGTGGTCACAAACTACAATGCGTACCAAAAACAGACTCTTACTTTTAGAATTTTACACGGCTCTCTTTTTTTAAATCCTTTATATTAAGTTCACTTGCGCGCTTGCTTACGACCGTGCAAATCTTTCGGTCGTTTTTAACCCACTTCCCGTGAACCAATCGAGCTGACATTTTTCCACACAGACTCGTTGTGCGTGACAATTAATGTTCGTGAGAAAAAAAATTCCTAAATTTTACACTTTTTAGGACAAAAATATTATATTTAATTACCAATTGCTTAATGGTGCCATGCAATCATCTGACCCATAGGTGGCAGCCATCTCAAGCCAGTGGACGAGAGGACTCGAGCCGCCACGCATATAAAGGATTTATAGTGAAAAACTTTGTTTTTACGGGTTATACTTATGAACTTATTTTTTATGGACCAAACCATGCGTACATTTAGCCTGTTTTAACAATGCCGAACATCTCTGGGCATGTGCGGAAGTTAATTACCAAAAAAAATTATTGGGCTCGTCCGGGATTTGAACCCGGGACCTCTCGCACCCAAAGCGAGAATCATACCCCTAGACCAACGAGCCAGCTGACTTCAGCCATACAGGAAATGCACTTAATGCTGCCACGTTGCGTCTGCTCTGTTTCGCAATAGTTTACCTTAACCTACAGGGGGCGGTACTGAGGGTGGCAGCAGTGTAAAATGCCTGGATGTCACACGTGGCAGTATGGCAAGCCCTCTCAAGGCTTCACACAAGTGTGCTTAAAAAAATAAAAACCCCACGGGAAACAAGGTCAAAAAACAAGTTAAAGAATATTACTTTTTTCCAAGTTTATGACCTATGTGTAAAGCAATTCACAATATTGTATCAGCTGTGTGCAAAATACTAAATTAGCATACGCTTCACGGCACTTAAGTGGCTGTGCAATTCCTGAATTATAAGCATCTTATAAAAATAGCTAAAAAATGGAAAAGCAAGGGCTCGTCCGGGATTTGAACCCGGGACCTCTCGCACCCTAAGCGAGAATCATACCCCTAGACCAACGAGCCAGCCACACGCTCCAATCCCCAATGTGGGAATTTAGCATCAGGCACATGTGCTGGGAACTGAATTTTTTTTAAAGTTCACTCACAGGAGGAGCCAGCCAGCCTTGCACTGTTTTCAGTTTCATTTATTAGATATAGCCCTGTGAGCCATTCGGCTCTTGAATAGGGTGCAACCTCAACAACAAAAAAACATAAACAAGAAAACATCTTAAAGTGACTATGCACAAACAGAGAAATCCAGGAAAAAACTGCAAAGTCTTCAAGAAAAAAAGCACCGTACACCAGCGCTGTGCAAAAATCCCAGTGGGATGCAAGTCAAACAACAACAATGCAGGCTCCGCTGTGCACATTGAAATGCACATTTTGGTGAAATATTGACACAATTATCTTCTGCTGAAACGCCTTTGTGTTTTTTGGATAGGTTAACATAGCGTGGGGGTAAACGCATTGGGCTGGCACGACTGAAAACCCGAGTTTGAATCTGGGTAACCACCCCTCCTCATTCACCCGGTTTCTGAAGTGTAGCGAATAGATATCAGCCTGGTCACGAATGACCGCATACAACTCCCATCGCATTCATCTTGGGTTTTCTATTTGTCTAATTTCCTACCCGTGTAAAATATATTCCCTCTAAGGCCAAATTATTACCGATGAACGTGAATGCAGAAGCTAAATAATCTGTATGTATGTTGAACTTATTTCACACCGTACGTTGCCAACCGTGGTAATCGGAAGGTAGGGGAAGGCCAAAAAACTGAAGACCAAAGGCAGTTGTTGAACACACAGGGTGGGTCACTGCTGTGTGAGTTCCAGATGGATTATATGTCTCACGATATGAAGGCAACTATACGCTTGAAATCAAATTTGGTCCCCACTGGAACCTCATTTGCCAGTAAAAAATATGATAATTGTTTTTTTACCCTTCTATCTGGCAACAAAACTGACACTTTTTTTTACAAGGAGTCATGTTTGCATAGACCACAATACCTGCAGCCATGTGCGCCTTTTGGCGTCATCTGGTCCAACCCATGTGAGACTAGGCTCTAAGGAAAGCTGTCTCGGGTGTGGACCAATCAAATTCAAGGACAGTGCATATATGATCAAAGTTGTGTTTTTTGTTTGCATTATGACTGCAGGTATTGTGGTCTATGCAAACATGACTCCTTGTAAAAAATGTGTCAGTTTTGTTGCCAGATAGAAGGGTAAAAAAACAATTATCATCAAATTTAGTATTATAATAATTCAATATTATTATTTTCATGAAATGTTTGACCGAAAAAATTAAAAATTCGTACTTATGCAAATACTTTGTAGAATATCACATTTAGTGTGGTGTTTAGAAAAGTTTTACACGTGATGGAAAAACAACTTTATCAGAGTTTATTTCCGTATACTGTATAAAAATAAATGCCTTCTAGGGCTCGTCCGGGATTTGAACCCGGGACCTCTCGCACCCTAAGCGAGAATCATACCCCTAGACCAACGAGCCAGCCACACACGCAACCGCGTGCCCACAATCTGAGGCTACAGCATCAGGCACATGTGGCTGGCTCTTGAGAAGGACAGTTCACATTGCCAAAACGTTTGATTGCTAGAGCAGCACTGAGACACAAACTGGCATTTACTTAAAATGTTGTGTTTTGGAGGCGATAGCTTGGAGAAAAAGCATTGACCTTGTACCATTGGAAAAATCTGAGTTTGAGTCTGGGTAACCGCACATTCAATCATTCAATTGGTTTCCCGAGTATCACAAGTCGATGGTATCAGCCTGGTCACTATTGACTGCACAAAAAAACATCGCATTTAATCTCTTCGGTCACGTTATTTTGATGCATTCAAGCATTTGGAATTTACAAAAATAAAATGTATTTATCTGCTTGGTTCTTTCGGTAATGTCACGTAGAATGGAAATAATACAATAATAAAAATAAAACATAATAAAATAATTCTGTCAGAAAGACAGCGTCTGACCGAAAGAACCAAGAAGATGAATCCCTGCAGTCACGAAATCTTTAAATCGAAAAATAAAATGTATTTGATCACCGTGCAAGGAAACATCCCTTGCAGTTAAAATGTATTTATCTAAATAAATTAAAATAACTTTCCAGGGCTCGTCCGGGATTTGAACCCGGGACCTCTCGCACCCTAAGCGAGAATCATACCCCTAGACCAACGAGCCAGCCGTTAGAACTATGCAGCCATATCACTGAAAAAAGGCACAAGGAAAACATTGCTCATTTGGGATTTTCACTAAATTTATATCCGTTACAGCCTTCATTATTAATACATTTTAACATTAAAATAACCTTCGATTTAAAGCTTTCGTGACTGCAGGGAAAAAACAATAAAATAATAAAAATAAAATAATAAAATTCTCACGACGTTTCGATTGCAACACAAGTTTGTGTTGCAATCGAAACGTTTTATTGATTTTTTATTTTATTATTTCCTTTCTACGTGACTTTACCGAAGGAACCAATAATATTAATACAACCGCAATGCACTTAACTGTACATTTTTCTTAGGTTTTTTCGGTTAAGTCACGTAAGTAAA